TGAAGAGCCAGTAAAGAAGTTACTAGAAAGCAGATACCATCAGATTGGTTCAGGCAAGGTACGAAAGCTCTCCTTCTTAGCATGTGAAATAGACTATTTCTGTAGGCGTCCGTGAAAGCAACTCACAAAATGGTCTTGAAGTTCTTGATGAGTTAAAGCATTTCTGTTCTTACAGTGTGAGATCAAAGTAGCACAGCCCAAGGAGGTATACAGGCAACAGCAGCAGCAGCAGAAAGGAGGGAAAAGCAATACTTCTGGTGGACGTGGAGGCGGAAGAGGGCGTGGACGGGGTGAGTGTTTTCGATGGTTAAACAAATATAAGTACTCGTGTGTCTGTAGATATACCAGATTTCAGGCTCTATGCTGATCTTGTTTCTAAACTGAATGAGTAAAGTAGCCTGTTAAATGGTATTTTGGTGATTGTGATTGCTTGTGGAAGCTTAGGAGTGTGTTCTTGCTCTGCTTGCCTTCAAATGGTGAAGTGGCCGGCTGGGTGTAGGGTTCTTTTGCACACCCACAGTGGATAGTGTAGCCAGCGCAGTTCACCCTTTCACATGGAGGGATGTGCCCTTGGTGGGCTCATGGGTGAGAAACCAAGAGCTGTTTGCTGAAGAGGATGGCAGTCACTTTGCTACACTTTGCAAATGGATCAGAAGCAAACAGCTGTTATATTACAGGTTAATGCATTTCAGTCTTCAAGTTAGTACAACTAACACAACGCAGTAAGGTATAATTTGGTGCTCAGGCAATTCCTGACCCAAAATGGCAGTTAAAGGAAAACAACAGGAGCTGCTGTAATGTGCCTTTGGTGTTGTGTTGTTTTGCTTTTCCTGGCTGTTTTATGAGCAACACGACCCGCTGTCTTTCTCTAATGCTGTGTGTTTTAAGATCTTAAGTCACATCTCTTGTATCCAAATGAGATGCCTCAATTCTTTTTCGAAAATGATTGTTTTTAGGGAGGTAAGAGGATTCTTCAGGTAATAGCTCTGCTATAGAAAGATCGACATTGAAAGTTAAATGAAGTGACGTAGAAGAGAAATAAGTTCTGTAACTTACACTTGCTATACTTGGTTTCAGGTCAGGGACAAAACTGGAATCAAGGATTTAATAACTATTACGATCAAGGATATGGAAATTACAATAGCGCTTATAGCGATCAAAGCTACAGTGGCTATGGAGGATATGACTACTCTGGATACAACTATCCCAACTATGGATATGGGCCGGGATACACAGACTACAGTGGTAAGTGGATTTGATCTCATTCCCAATAACAAGAACGTGCATCTTTAAACAGGGGCCTCTTCTAGTAAGTTGCTCTGTAAAGTCTCTTGGCACATGGCTCTAAAGATGAGATCTCTTGGTGTGCTGTATGTGAAGTCCCCTTCAGAGGTTGGATGTTAATGCTTCTGGGCTTTGTTTTTTTCCCTCTCGTGTTACGTACAGGCCAGCAAAGCACATACGGAAAGGCGTCCCGTGGCGGCGGCAACCACCAAAACAACTACCAGCCGTACTAAAGCAGTACCTAGTACTTGAGCAAACAGGTGTGTACTTGAGTGCAAGGTCCACTCTGAGTATGTCTAATCTAATTTAAAGATCAATAGACAAACGAAGAGTAAAAACTTGCGTAGCATGACTTTTCCTTTAATTAAGCTTTTGTTAACTTAAAAAAATAATATTTTTTTTTTTTAAAACCAGCTTTGCCTACGTGTCTATAGATCTTTAACTTTGTAAAAACGTGACTTTATCTTCTTTAGTACTGCAGAAAAACATAAGAGTTTTTCTGGTTTGCGTTGTGTACCAGGTGATCTAGAGGAATAATTAAACTTATTAGAAGTATTAACAGGTAAAGTACTGAAATGGGTACAACTTAAGGAAAACAAGAATGTTGTCTTCTAACTCTGACATTATACCTTGTTTGTACCCGCCAGCGGGAACTTCATTGCAGGCCGTGTGTCACCCTGACCACGTCTATCTCTGGGGTCGCACGTTGCAGGCAGAGCGCAAGGCATACACCAGAAAACGCTGTCCTGTGGTATGGTCTCTTCCAACTTCATGTACCAGCGTAAAGATTAAAGTGGAAAACTTCAGACTTTGGCTTCTTTTTTTAATCTTTTTTGGAGATTAAGTGTCTTTAACTTAAATGGTTTTTTACAGGAGTTAAAGTACATAAATGCCTTTACAGCTTAATCATTTGGTCTTCTGTTTAGTGTTGTATTTCAATTGTGGAACCTCATTTTAAATGTGCATTCTTTAAGATTTTAATGCTTGCTTTTTTCTTTTTATAGCTAATAGTGAAATCTGCAAACCAAAACGAACTTTTAAATCTGGAAAAACATTAAGGATCATATGCATATGAACCGTCTGAACTAAATTGACTTGACTTGTGTTGCACATAAGTCATATAGATGTATAAACAAATAATTAGAAACCCTTTTGGCAGTGTTTCCAGTGGGGAAAAAAAGCCTGATCCAGAGCTCACCTATTAGTCTAAATCAGCTGTTGTTTTTGGAACAGCTTCCTAAATGGGCTGAATGGCAATATTTGGGAAGATAAATTACTGAGGGGTAACAAAACCTCTTGTGTTACCTTAATAAATATGCATATGATCTTTAACAGTGAAGAAAGGAATATATAGAAGACTTAAAGCAGTTCATGAAAATGGACCTTTTAACAATTCTGTAGTAACTGTCACAGATCTGACATGCATTTTGTCTTTGATTTTTTAGGTAGAGGTACTGCAGCAAAAAAGCCATCTCGCAGCGCATCGTGAGTGAATGGAGGGTGATCTTCGTGAGAGGAAATGACTATTTTGTAAAAGACTTTTAGTGAACGACACAACTGTGTCCAACTGTACATAGCGGCCGACTAGTTTTCTTTTATGGTTTTTACTTTCTTTTTGCCATTCATGTTATGACACAATGTGGATTTGTGTTTATACAAACTTTATTTGTATAATTTCATGTTAAAGGATTCTCTAATAAATGCTTACTTAAGTGAGTGTGTAGTCTTGCTGTCACCTTACACTGGTGTAAGTGTAGTTTTACTTGTAGAGGAGGGCGTGTACCTTTGGAGATCTGTGTTACTGTGTATACAGGTCAATACAACCCATGATTTTTCCTGACCTGTCTTGAGAGAGCACCACCATGCTTGGAGTCAGCATCAGTGGATGATGGAAGAGTTGTCTCTTGCCACGTGCAGAAGAGAGGAGAAAGTGGTCTGTCTGTGTCACAATGCTGCCAGTTTTGTACATCTCAAGGGATCTAGAACTACAGCAGCACCTTTGTAATGCTGATGGCTCAGGCACTGCTTAAGGGATTAGAGGGGTGTGGAGCCTTTCAAGGTTTTTCAAGCACTTAGAACCTTGACTATTCTAGAATGTAGCTTAATTACTTTCCTAGAGTAATCACTCCCTATCTATTCCAATTGCAGGGAGGAGATTACAAGTTCTTGAACTTAAGGGTCAGCAACTCTTTTCTGTACAACTTGGGATCTACAAGTTAGGTCCTGTACTGGACTCTTCTCACCTGAAGCATCCAGAAAACAGGTTTACCATCTTGTGCATCCTAGCAAAATAAAAGCTTGAGTGAATGATTGGTGGAGCAGGGAAACAGCATTACACCCAGCAGGTTCTTTTCTGATTAGGAAAAATGGTGGAACGGGTAAGGGAGCATACACCTGCATGCAGCCGAAGGCTTGCAGCAGTCTGCCTGAAGTTCTGTTTTTTACTCAGTGTGTACCTAGTCAAGCATCAAAAAATAAACTTTGCTTGTCGAGGTAAAATGGGAGTAGCTAATTGACAGAAGTCTTGTAGATTTCGAAAGGGAGTAGTCGGGGTAGAGATTTTTCCCTGAAAGTTTCCAAACCATAATTTCAGTGTTTACTTCTCTCTGAAGTAGCTGGCTGTTTTACTTTCTCCTATCGCAGAGAAGAGCTGCTTCCCATAACTGCTGGGGGTTGAACAGTTGCTGGATCTGGATGGCTCCTGTCATCTTAGCAATTAGGTTGGATGGGAGAAGGCTCGCTGATGTCACTGGCGACGAACTAAAAAAAACCCAGCATGTAACTGCTGGGAGAAACCACAGCTGTGTGTGACTGCGTGTGTACACAGGCTTTTGGGGAGTGCAGCTGGATGCAGAAGTTATCCTTCAGCAGTGCCCTGGTGGGGCTGAAGGTGACTTGTGCCACCAGCACATGGCTTTGCTGCTACATTGGTTAATATACAACCCCCCACTTCTCTAAGAGCTAAGTTTTCTTTCAAAATTGTGATCCTTCCCCTCTACACAGCCTTAGTGAGGACACATCTGGAGTGCTGTGTCCAGTTCTGGGCTCCTCAGTACAAGAAAGAGCAAGGAGCTGCTGGAGAGGGTCCAGCAGAGCGTCACGAAGATGATGAGGGGTCTGAAGCATCTCTCTTATGAGTAGAGACCGCAGGAACTGGGCCTGTTCAGTGTGGAGAAGACTGAGAGGGGATCTCATCAACACATACAAATATCTCAAAGGCAGGTGCCAAGAAGATGGTGCCAGGCTCTTTTCGGTGGTGCCCACCGACAGGACGAGGAGCAATGGCCATAAACTAAACCGCAAAAGTTTCACCTCAACATGTGCAAGTCCTTCTTTACACCGAGGGTGGCAGAGCACTGGAACAGGCTGCCAAGGGAGGTCGTCGAGTCTCCCTCTCTTTAGACATTCCAAACGGACCTGGACGCGTTCCCGTGTCACCTGCTCCAGGTGACCCTGCCTTGTCAGGGGGGTTGGAATGGGAGATCTCCAGAGGTCCCTTCCAACCCTACCGGCTCCGTGATTCCGTGACCCCCTCCCGGCACCCTCAGGCCCTGGATGCTCCCGGGGCTGTCCACGACCGCCCCCCCGCTCCCTCCCGGCTCCCCGGGGGCGGTGTCACGTGTCCCGCCCGCCGCGCTCCTTCCGGCCGCCATTTTAGGTTGGGTCGGTGGCGGCGCCATTAAAAACAGGGAGCAGGAGGAGGAGGGATCGGCAGGATCGGCGCGCTCGGCCGGGGCCGCCAGCGGCGCCGGGGCCTCGGCGGGGAGGCGGCGGCACCGCGGGTGTCCGGTCCGGTCCGTTGCGGGGCGGCGGCGCCATGTCGGACCAGCAGTTCGCTCTGGACTCGGCGGTGGTGGCGGCGGGCGCCGGGGACAGCGCGGCAGAGCCGGCGGAGCAGCCTGAGGGGCAGGCGGGGGCGGGAGGCGCCGATGGGGGAGGCGGCGGCGGCGGGATCGAGTCGGAGGGAGCCAAGATCGACGCCAGCAAGAACGAGGAGGACGAGGGGTGAGCAGTGGGGGCGCGTTTTATGTCACGGGCGGGGCCGGGCGCCCCCGGCCCGGCCCGGCCCGGCCTGGCCCGGCCCCGCTCGCCGCCCTGTTTGTTTACTTGGCGCTTCGGCGACGTCACGGGCCGGGCCAGGCGGGGGCGGTGTGTGGACCCGCGGTGTACAAATGGTGTGATGTGTACCGAACTACAAATCCCTTTTATTTTTTTTAGGATGTTCTTTATGTAAGTTAGTGTGCGGTGCGCGCGACAAGGCCGTAACTCGGCGTAGCCGAGTGCTGGAGTTGCTGTCGCAGCATTGCCCTGTGCTGCAAGCACAGACGGTGTGTCAGTGAGAGGCATGAGGGACCTGGGCTTCTTCCCAGCCTAAACCATCCCTCTGCTCCTCGCGGAACTTAGTGTGAGGAAGATTGCATTAGGTGATGTCTGAACTCGAGGAAACGCTATGAAGCTGTGTCAGGGGAGGTTCAGGCTGGATATCAGGAAAAGGTTCTTCACCCAGAGGGTGGTTGGGCACTGGAACAGGCTCCCAGGGAAATGGTCACAGCACCAAGCCTGACAGAGTTCAAGAATTGTTTGGACAATACTCTTGGGCACATGATGTGATTCTTGGGGTGTCCTGCACAAGGCTAGGGGTTAGACTCGATAATCCTGATGGGTCCCTTCCAACTCAACATATTCTATGATTTTAGGAAAAATAAAGGCAGCTTTTAATCTTCCGAGGGTCTCTGCCTGATGCTTGGTATGGGTCAGTGTCACTTTAGTATTGGTGATGAAATTCAGTTGTAAAAAACCAAGTGACATGACAGGCTGATGCTCTGTGCTGTCTCCTGTCAGACCCATAAGAATTCTGGCTGCAGGTCTGGTTTTGGTCAAGGCAGAAAATAAACTGGATAAAGGAGCACTGGCTATGTTGTCCTGTAGATACGTGCTGCGAAACCTTTCTGGGATGTTGCAGAGAACGATGTTAATAACCTGGGATGTAATAATCTGGGATGTTGCAGGGAGAGAGAAGAGGAACCTTTTTTTGAGTGTTTTCGTAGGATTAGCAGAAGCTTAGAATGTTTTTGTTACTTCTCACCTGCTCTTAGTGGCTTTAAATACCCTTGCAGTTTGCGTATTTGTTTTACTTTTTGCCCTTGAATACATACCTCTTAAAGGGTTTTCAGAAGGAAGCTGATCTTGTTTGGAGGCAATACAGCTTAAAAAAAGTTGTTACTGAGGGGTGCAGTGACACTGGGCAGTGATTACTTATATTATATGTTGGCTTGTAGTTTAGTTCAGTCTTCTTATTTGATCTGTCAGTTTTTGTGGGTCATGCTGTACAGGAAACAAAGTGTTTTGGCAGCTTTCTTGGTAGTAGAGGGAAAACAGAAGATCTGTGATATCTTTGCTCTATTTAGCTGAGTATGAAATTTGAAAGCATATTTTGGAAAACTATGTGCTGATGTGACTTGCATAGATTTCCTAACCCACAGGTTTACAAGCTTTTGACACCGCTGTGGCGTTGCTCCTGGATTGCTTTTTGTGCTCGTGGTTGTGTTGTAGCCTTGACCTGACCTCAAGTTTTGCAGTGAAGCAGTGGTTTGTCAGCTCGCTGTAGTGGCAGGATGGAGCAGCAGTGGTTTGTTGCTGTGTGAGTGGACTCCCAAGTTGCAGTTGCTGCGTGGAGGGAAGAAGAGCCTTCAGAGGGCTGTTGTAAACTCATGTTCTTGCTCTGTCTGTACTTAGTGGTATAAAGCAGGCTTTGTATGTTAATATTGATGGCAACTATAAAGCAGGTTTTGTGTGTTTAATGGTTTGTTGGTAGCTGTGGAACAGGTGGCTTGTGCCTAGCAAGTGTAAGTTCAGTAGTAACTGCTAGAGTATCCTCCATGTGTCAGAAAAACACTGCATCCTCTCTGTGTTCTGTTTGGCTGCTTAAAAAGCTGCACAAAACAGCAAACAAACTAAGAACCTTAATGATGGATGAACACAAGAACAGAAAACATCCTTTGATTTACTGCCCGTGCTGGTTTACCAATGTGGACCATTTTATCAATATTCATAGAACCACAGAATGTTAAGAAGTTGGAATGGACCTTAAACCCTCCCAACCAGTCCCAACATCCCCTGCCGTGGGCAGGGACACCTCCCACTAGATGAGATTGCTCAAGGCTTTATCCACCCTGCCTTGTACACTGCCACGGTTGAGGCATCCACAGCCTCCCTGGGCAACCTGTGCCAGTGTCTCACCACCCTCATAGCAAAGAATTCCTTCCTAATATCTAATCTAAATTTCCTCTCTTTCAGTTCTACCCATTACTCCTTGTTCTATCACCACAGTTCCTCATGAAGAGTCCCTCTCTGGCTTCCCTGTAGACCCCCTTCAGATACTTCGAAGGTTGCTGTGAGGTCTTCATGCAAACTTCTCCAGGCTGAACAGTCCCAGCTTTCTCAGCCTGTTTTCAGAGGGGAGGTGCCCCAGTCCTCTTATCAAGTTTATGGCCTCCTCTGGACTTACTCCAACAGTTCCATGTCCCTCTTATGCTGGGGGAACCAGAAGGGGATGAATATAGATTAGTCCTGAAGACAACAAGTAGTCACATGAGATAGAAAGGGATTTTGGTGCTTTGTAGAAGAGGCATCTGGAACTAGTGGTAGAAGTGGATAACGGGAATGGGGAATTGGTGCTCCTTCTTAAAGATTTCAGGACCTTTTATAGAAACATATGAAGCTCCTGAACCCCCTCATTTCTATGGAGGTTGGATATGTTTGTCAGAAAGTGAATGCTCTTGTTAATTCTGTCATGACAGCAGAGCTAATTCAACAGTTAGTTCAGAGGAGCAGCTTTTGATTTGAGAGAGTTTGACTTGTGGAGGTACATGCAATTTACATGATTGGCAGGAATATTTGTATGGGTGTGGAAAGTGGAGGAGTTGAAGACATGATACAGTGTTTTTTCAGGTTTTCTGATAAGTGTGCGTTGAATTGTGGGATAAGTTGATACAGTGAAAATGGACAAAGCTTTGTAGGAAACATTTATAGATCATAATGGATCATACTTTTTTGTTTAGAGCCTGCTGTAAAATCTTCTTTATCAGTATTAGAGGAGATCATCTCAAATCCTCTCTTGAATGGCTGCCTAAGCCCTATGCCTAATGACTATGACTATGAATGATTCATTTGTGTGCATACTGGCTTGTTTTTTTTTGTCTTTCCTTTTGTTTCGTGTCTTACTAATGTGGTGGGACAGTTATGAATTGATTCTAAGCTTCCAGTGTGCTTTTGAAAATACAGGTCGTGATCAGAATTATGTGCTGCACACATTTGCCCAGCAGCACTAGTCCCTTAGGAATATTGGGAAGACATTCGTTTGATTGTATTGGATTATGCCTGTTGTTTATATCACGTTTTTGTGAGGAAAGATAAGCTTTGATCATCCAATAGTTTACTTTTTTTACTGCTTTCTGGGGAAGGCAACTTAACTAAACTTTATTTTAGTTTACTAATATGGGCTTATGTCCAGTCCAGCCTAGTACATAAATGCCTCTGTTTAAGTGCACTGCTGTATAAACCTAATCTGCCCATGTGGGTTTCTTGAGCAGTTGTGTGAGGCTCCACAGATAACTAAATGGAATTTAGCCTGTGGTGGGGGTGCAGGGAGGTAGTAAAATACCTTTTTGTCACTACTGGTAGTTTCCTGGGGTAGCAGAGTAAGCAACTGCAGCAGAAGATGGTGCAAAACTTTTGTTTACATGTAAGTCTTTATCTAACCTGGCCAGAATCATTAAAGCAAGTTGTCAAAAAGTGCAGGCCTGCGTGTGCGGTGTCGTCACTGATAAAATGCTGCCAGTTCCACGCATTAGGTAACTGAGCTTATGCAGCTTGACAGTGCAGGATTTTGGGTAACACACATTAACAGATTAAACCATCTTGTCTTAACAGGAAAATGTTTATTGGCGGCCTCAGCTGGGACACCACCAAGAAAGATCTGAAGGACTATTTCTCCAAATTTGGTGAAGTTGTAGACTGTACTCTGAAGTTAGATCCCATCACTGGGCGATCAAGAGGCTTCGGCTTTGTGCTCTTCAAAGAATCAGAGAGCGTAGATAAGGTAGTATTGATGTAATGAAACATGTTCAGATTTGGGTATCGGAGATGAAGCACTCACATGGTTGTCTGCATAGTTATTTGTACATGTTCTGCTAAAGATGATTCAGGGACACAACATGTTTAAGATACTTGTTAAAATGTTTATTTTCCTGAACCATCTTACTCCTGATGCAGTGTTCAGGACCAGCAGTGATTGCTAAGGTGTGGATTTGAGCACTTACACGGGAGTATGCTGCAAACCACTGGACTTGAGCGCTTGAAAACCACTGTATATAAATGTCTGCTGCCTACTGAAAGCAGTAATTTGCAAAGAACTTCAAACCTTTGCATTCCAGAGGTGCAACGTGGACCCCTAGAGTAGAGCCAATAGCTTTGATACATTTGGGCTCTATCCAAGCAAAAGTTAGCTGTTAACTTTTCTAAAATGCTGTGGATACAGCACACGGAAAAGTTTTCACCTTCGTTGACCTTTGGTGATATCTAAAGTGCAGATTCTTTACTTCTTAAAGTTTGAGGATGAGATTGTAGGGTACTTTCTGAGAAGTGTTATGCTCTTACTTCCCTTGGATAATACATGACCCCAGGTGGCTCTGGAAAAGCTTTGTCAGAACTGTGTCAGTGGATAGTGATCAAAATCACAGAATTCTTTGTTTTTGTGCAACAAATCATTGCTGTAATCAAAGTATCGAAATTGAAGCAAATTTGGCCTTGCTCAAAACATAAGTGAAACATTTAGTTTGAACTGCTTAAGATTATGTTTTTATTTTTCTCAGGTCATGGACCAGAAAGAACACAAGCTGAATGGAAAGGTCATTGATCCAAAAAGAGCTAAAGCCATGAAAACAAAAGAACCTGTTAAGAAGATTTTTGTTGGGGGCTTATCTCCAGACACACCTGAGGAGAAAATACGGGAATATTTTGGAGGTTTTGGTGAGGTATGTGGTGAAACAAACTGCTTATGCTTGTGGAACTTGTTCTGTCTTCACAAATTTAGTAATAAAAAGCATCCCCCAAATGCAACCTGCATGGATGCTACTGTAAGCTTAGTGGCCAGTATAGCTCCATCTGTCTTAGTAGTCAGAATTTTAATGACAATAGTATTAATTACAGGTTTTGAGTTGCACAGACTGGGTAATGGAAGGAGGAGCTGGGATAAGTCAGAAAGGGAGGCAACACTTTTGAGATGGTGTTTTGGTCAGTTGGATGAGATGATCTTAAGTCACCTCAGCTCATCTTCTGTGGCACAGATTGAAGCAGTTTGCCTAAATTCTGTGCAACTATGTAGTCTCTTGTCTCTCTCTATCCCCAGTTTTTGGTGGCGCAGATGAACAGAACTGTGCACTTGCACAAAGCTACATCTTTTTCATATAAAACTTCAAGGTTTAGGTCTCCTTGGAGTTTGGAATATTTAGTTACTTCAGTCTTAACCGAGTTAAAACTGAAAGTCAAACTGAGACTGTTTATCCAGCATAACTAAAATATTCTTTGTGCACCGTATTTTGTCTGAGTATGAATGGACAAATGATACTAGAAGTTAGAGGGGAAAATTTTTTCACACTTATTAACACTGTTGTTAGTGAGGGTGATGTTTTAGATGGTTTTGAGTGATATAAAGCCCTATGAAGGAGACACATTGTCATATTCAAGGCTAAATAATTTCAGTTAACAAATATGACCTCTTAGAAGGATTTTGAAGTGACATGCATGGCAGGATAAAAGATAAAATCACTGTCTTCTTCACCAGGTGGAATCGATAGAGCTCCCCATGGACAACAAAACTAACAAGAGGCGTGGATTTTGCTTCATTACTTTCAAGGAGGAGGAACCAGTGAAGAAAATAATGGAAAAGAAATACCACAATGTTGGGCTTAGTAAAGTAGGTGAAGTTTTTCTTAGAGAAAGTGAACACTGACAATAGAGAGAATTATGTTATCAGTTGCATCTGTTTGGGGATAAGCATTATTTCTCACATGTAGCATTAGGCTTATGAAGTATTTATGTAGGTGCTAGGAATAGGTGACTGTAACCTTAACTTCTGAGCTGAGGGGATTTCAGGTGGGGTTTTATAGAGCACATTTGTTCACTGTGCAGCTCCCACGTGCTCCAGCTGTGTGGGCAGAGTGCTGTGTCACAGATCTGCTGTATCAGGTGGCACCATGTTTTCCTGGTAGCTGGATCTCTGTGTGTTTGATACCGAAATGTCAGTTTGTCTCAGAAAGCTTCTAAAACTGAACTGAAGTGGGAAGTTAGGCTTTCCTGTTGGAAGTTGCTTTCCTTTCAGAAACCTGGTTGAAATTCAGCCTGGCAACAAATACTCAAGTTGTAGCTGGACTATTCTTATTTGGTTGAATATGTAGTGGAAGCTTCCGAACAGAGCTGAGTTGAGTTCAGTATGTTAACTTTTGTAACTCAGGCTTATAGATCTCATAGGTTTAGTTCAAAGGGAAAACAGAAAGGCATACAAAGAAACAAGCATTCTTTTCAGAATCGGTTTTACTGTGTCTTACAGTTGCTTTTAAGTTAGACAGTGTAAGCTATCCATCTTTTTTTCAGGGAGAACAGATCCTATTTTCTGCTTAGTGTTCTGTAAGTTTAAGACTGGTGTTTGGGGGTTATCTTTGCTAATTGGATCTGACTTTACTTTCCGTTTCCAGTGTGAAATAAAAGTAGCCATGTCAAAGGAACAGTACCAGCAGCAGCAGCAGTGGGGGAGTCGGGGAGGATTTGTTGGAAGAGCCCGAGGAAGAGGTGGAGGTAAGCTTGTACTGCTGTAGTGTTGGAAGGTGAGGGACTTGCTTGAAAGAAAACAACTCTGCAGCTCCAAGTTTTGTGTTGCAGGCCCCAGTCAAAACTGGAACCAGGGATACAGCAACTACTGGAATCAGGGGTATGGGAATTACGGCTACAACAGCCAAGGGTATGGAGGTTATGGAGGATATGACTACACTGGTTACAACAACTACTATGGATATGGTGACTATAGCAGTAAGTACTGAACTTCTTATAAAAAGTCCTAATCTGCTGCTTGTACGAAAGTTGCTGCCGCTGATAAAAAAAATAGATAGATGGCTTTAAAATATCCTGGCTTGGGCTTTCCACGGAGCTAGTGATCAGCA